AGGCAAGAACAGCCTTTTCATTTTTCGTTCCACATACAATGTCCTTAACTAAATTCTGTGAACCACAAAGTTGCAGTTTCTTATTTTGAAAATATTCTATTGGCTTATTAACTGATTCGCCATGTTTCGTTTCAAGGTGGCGTCTCAACTTCGACGGCCTCATAGATTCATTCGATAACACTTCGCAACAAAGAACACACTGTGGTCTGTCTTCGCCGTCTTTATTCAGAACGGAAAATCCCATTTGCAGATAAGATGGACAATATTTGCGTGATTTTTTGAGGGAAGGAACTTTATCTGCCCTGGTACTATTTTCGACAACACTAGATCCACTCGTATTATCGTCTGTCTTACGTTTCAATGATCCACACTTTAACCACCGATCCATATCTAAATAAGATCGTGAACAAACTGAAAATCAGAAGTTTCATTGTGAACTCAATTATTTGAACAAAAGCAGAAAAACTGAATATTACACCGAGAAAAACACACTTGTATAATATTATAAAAATTCACTGCACAAAAACTAAAGAAACACGGGTTGTTCGCTCTGCCACTGAAATGAATAAGAAACGTGGTCAATGGTCCCAGGTTTATTCCCAACCAAAGAGGGATGGATTTGGTGGGGGAGGAGGGGAGAATGGTCGGACAGCAGGTACTAGAACAGCAGTCCACCCTGAAACACGGGTCTGAGATGCAATGGGCCGACCAAAAGAAAATGTCCTTGGAAAAAGCTACACAAATCGTTGGCTATTCACCTCTGCTTTAGAAAGGGAAGAAGCAACGGTACCAACAGTCCCGTTAAATTTTACTTCAACCATGGGCCTCAAGAGCCAGAGATATACATTGCAATATCCCAGGTGTGAGGAACATGATAAGATAAGGTTTAATGAAAATAAACTATCCCGCGAACCACAGGTTGGGAAACACTGATCTATACCATTCGGGATTACTGGCTTCTTGGGTTTCGTCCCTCATCCGGTACATTAAGAGTAAACGTTTGGGGAACTGTATCTGTTTCCGTCTTCAGATAAAGGGTTGGGGTCCGTTACAAAGAGCTGACCTCCAGTGATTGGCCCTTACTCCACTGATAGGGGTTCGCTCTTTCTGTCTTTCTAGGTGTCTCCCACCCCTCCACTGAGGACGGAAACAGATCCAGTCCCCGAAACGTTGTGTTCCGTTTAATACCGTCGATGAGCAGAGTCCGAAAACCCATTAACCCCGAGATTAATTCCATTATATTACGTCACTGCGCTACATTAACTTCTTGGCCTACATGCGGGTACCTGACAAGTGCATCGATCCGTGTAGAATTGAGCCTGCATACGCAGCTTGTGTGTTGTACTAAAGAAGAAGGGTCATCGTCATCATCATCATCAGTGTGTTCACCAGCCACTGAGACACAACATTAGTACTCACAGGTCACCTGTGTCCAAACCTTAATAGTCAGCGCACACTTCAAGCCTGTGACCATCTCGGTATCACAGGATTACTGTTTACCACTGCATTTTAAGCCTGATACATTAATTTACCCTTACCCCTTTCAAGTATCAAGTTTATTTAAATACAATAATATTTAAAAACGTATTTCCTACGTCATACAGATCACATAGCATCTCCAGTACAACTGTCAGTCGGTTGAGTTGTTCAGGGAGATGGTTTCTCTTCATACACATTCTTAGAACTATACAAAACATGTACGTAAATGTGCTGCTTTGTGGACAATATTAAGAGATTTTGAATATTAAAGCAGGTGGTAATTATAGCTAACGGCTTTATATTTGTAACACAGTCGTGTACATATGTATTTCTCTTAATATCCGGTAAACTCATTGATCGAAGGCGACGGTTGCATTAGAAAACAGGCTAGAAGGAACATCAAAGTTGTGAAAGGGTTCGGTTGAAAATATTAATCTACCATTAGTTCAGTTTTGTAGAGAATGTTGTGCATATTCTTTCTAGGAGCGTAAATGTTCCAAACTAAATTGCGAAGGCCTGTTTTAGTTGATTCCCATGGAAATGTTTATAATATTAATAATAACAGATATGTTGCTCTACGGGAAGAATGAAGTTTAACGTATATAGTGAATATTGTAAGTGAATGCATTTTGTTCCGTCTTGTACAGTCCCCGCGAAACAAAATTTTAGTTACTATTATATCGATTTCCACAAGAACGGTGAAATCCATACTGACCATTAGTTCAGCACACCGGGAAACATTCGGTGGGACTATGCGCAAACCGTTAAGCGGATTCACTAATGGAATCACCTTCAGAAACACTTTCCCTACATCACAACAGAAAGCAGATTTTCAGAACTTTGACAGATATTGTCATGTCGTAAATAGAGTTACTGCTTTTCGATTACTGTAACAAACAAATTCGTTATAATTGTTTTAGTTTTATAATATTATTAATAATTCTCTTGTATAATTTTCTTTTGCATAGTCACCAAAACACCCTGCCCAAAAATAGGAAACTATATTTCAGAATTTAATATTAAATCATAAAATTAGGTAAAGATATACGACAGTGTATAAAATAACATCAATTTTGCTAAACAGTTTTAACCAACCTGATGATGGCAAAATAGGTTGGAACATATGTGAGAAAGACAAATAAAAACATAAAACCTGAAAGAGTTGAAAGTTTAAAAAATATAAATAATGAGTTTTAAAGCTTTTAGCGTGATTTGCACGGGAGACGGAAGTGAATGCGTGAGAATAGTAGACACAGTGCAACAGGACGTTGCAACATGTTAAATACAGACTTTCTCCTCTTATGTCTAACTTAAATATATCTTGTAGGAGTACTGTACGGAAGAAGGCAACCCGACTGTGCTAAAAACCGTTCCGGACACAAAAACAGCCAGGCTCTTAAAGGGTAACTTCCTCTTGTCGGTACATATATCTAAGAACAAAATGTTATACTTTCTCGCACAAGGGCATTTGGTGTTGAATTACTAGTATTTTATATTTAAACACTTGATAAACGATACTTTGACTTATATTCATCTAAAAAAATGCGAACTTTATGACCAGTCAGTCGTTCCAGGTAGGGTTCTACACTGGATCACCCGACTGATGAGTGGCCATACAAACTATGATAATGTTACCCATTTTGCACCATAGGATCGCCCAGTGAAAAAGCCGCAAATCCGAAACAATTATCTGTTGATTTCATTTGATTCTTTACAAAAGAATACTGCAAATGTATTAGTTCCTTCAGTCTTTCCCCCTACATCATCTTCTATCCCTGCATCTGTCCATCTGCCCACAAACACATCAATGCATTCACCTGTATCCACGTATTCATCCATCCGTGTAATAGCTGCAAGGTGTTTTCACCAGTTTCTGTTGTGATGAAGGGTACAAACAGTTTTCCATTTCTCTCTTCAGTTCCGCCAATGCTGTGGATCCCACACCAGTTGGTGGGAGCACCTCTGGCATACAGCGTGACGCTCGAATGTTTCACCGAGGCGCATCCCACGTCACTCAACTACTGGACGCGGGAGGACGGCAACATGATTCACGAGAGCCGCAAATACAGGGCCGAGAATACCGTTGACTCCCCGCCTTACAAAACCCACATGAAGCTGACCATAAGCAACATCCAGGAGCGAGACTACGGTGTCTACAAGTGCGTGGCCAAGAACCCACGGGGCGAGACAGATGGAACCATACGGCTCTACAGTAAGTACATTCATCCCTAATCCCCACATAGTCTGTTAATCTCATAAGACCGATATATCGACATGGGAATTTTCGTTTTGAGTTCAGAAACCATGCATGCATAAAACTGCTTTTTAATTTAACGGAGCTGGGTTGTTCGTCACAGAATTAGCGCTACAGGGAGGGAGGGGGGTTAGCATGGTCAGAATATCGACGCGGTGTTTTCAGTTTCCATTCTGATGACATTTCTGCCTACAAATGTCTTCATCTTCCCAAAGAAACAAGCCCTTCCGTCATACAGTTAACATTCCACGTGCACCTACATCCATGGTTAATATTCGGTCACGAAAAGGTTACGTTTCGTTTGAGAGGCCTTCCTGCGAAAACTACGAATAAATGTATCGTACTCAGATAGGAGCAAGCCAGGCCGTACAAGCATTGTCATCTCTGCCGCCAGTTGTTGTTTAAAGGTCTTGTGAAAGAATCCCTGGAATGTGATTTTCTGTGAAGTAAAATCTTCATTCCCTGTGGAGCTGAAAGTCGGAAGTAATGTGTTGGGAATGACCATGCCATAGCTCAGGCGGTTAGTCTCCGGCTTCCCACCGCGGCGGTCCGAATTCGAGCCCGGGTCAGATCATATGGGATTTATGGTGGACAAAGTGGCATTGGTGTAGGTTTTTTCCAAGTGCTTCTGTTTCTTATGTCATCTGCTCCACACTCATCTATCAACCGGGCTCGTACAATAGGACAATTAGTGGCCGATGTACCAAGAGGACTCAGTCTCACCCCACCAAGCAGAAATGAAAAAAAAAACATTTATGTGTAGGCCTCTTTTAATCTACAGGGGATTGGCCGCTCCATAGCTCAAGCGGTTAGTCTCTGGCTTCCCGGGTTCAATCCCGGGTCTGGTCAAGTGGGATTTATAGTGGACAAAGTGGCGCTGGGGCGGGTTTTCTCCGAGTACTTCGGTTTCCCCTGTCAATCTTCATTCCACCAAATTCTCCATCATCATAATCACCCGGACCAGGCTACAATAGGCCAAACAGTGGCCACCGTGCCGAGTGGACCCAGTTGGCCTCCACCCCCCACTAAGCGAATTTAAAAATTTAACACTCTTTATCCCCAGCGACCCGCACCACTATTCCACCCCCACCCCTTTTTACGTTTTTACGGGTTTTCGGACTTTTCTGATTCTTTCCTTCCGTTTCTGCTTTTCTTCTTTCTTATTAACTTCAGTTCTATCTTCTCCTTTTTCCTTCCCCTTCCTACCAGTCCCTTCACCCTCCTATTCTCCTACCCTCCCTCCCCCCCAAAGCCTGCCAAGATGCGCGCAATTGGGACTAGTGAGACAGCGAAAGCAAATGCGTAGAGGGCGACAACGGTAAGTATAGGGAAATATATCGACAGTAATCAGTAACCAAAAATAATTTGATTTAAATTCATATATAATTACAAAGACAAAAATAACACCGTCCGGTGTTACTATTTGAGTTTTATCACTTTAAACCTCATCACCCTTACATGTTTCGATCCCTACGGATCATCCTCAGAGGGCATCAGTTCTTTTTCCGGAAACTACTATTACAATAGGCGTTAAATAATATACATACACATATAATGTCTGAAATACACAATGTACACAGTGTTCAACTTTTCACTTTTCCTGGTATTACATTTTTTGAAGTTTCTTAAAAACTTTGTCGTTTAAGATTAAAATTATTATAAACCATGCAGGTTCGTGTCAGTTCTCGTATTGTCTTTCTTGGAGGTGGCTGATCCTGTGCCGCCTGTCTATCTTGAGAAAGGAGATTCTTAGTATTTTCCGTGTTTATTCGTGGCTTGCTGTGCTGTTTACACAGCAAGTAATTGTTAGTGTGAAGGACCAGAATAAAACAAATCAAATTCGTATATAATTACTATATATTGTGACATGTTGCGCAACGGAGAAACCCTCCCCACCAGCAGTGACACGGCGGGTGAGTCAGCGCTCCGTCATCCCCCCTCCGCACGGTGACGTAACGCGCAACGCGCCGTGACGTAAGACGGCGTGAGGTAACAGCGTTGCTAGGCTATAAGCAGACACTATGACTTGGCACGCAACGACGCTGTTGACGCGGGCAACAGGCAAAAGCGAACGGAATAAAAGCCGGCTGAGCAGTAAGCGTGGGGGAGTTGTAATGTGGCCGTTGGCGAGTTCAGTTGTAGTCGACTTAACTTGTAGCCGTTCCCGAGAGAGAGTTAAAGTGTATCAGTGCCGAAGACAATTCTCCAGTCAGCAGCCTACAGTTGGAATATAGCAGCGTTCGCGGAAAGAAGAACCGGACGTGTGTGTCGTTGTGTAATTGGGAGTGTGTGATACAGGGACAATTATATAGCTCCCGTACTGTAAACGTGTAGACTACTGAAGACAAAGTGAATTGATTTGCAAATAGGGTTATAAATCGTGAAATCCCGCAACAGTGTAAACAGATTATTGCGATTAGGGTTATAAAGTGTGAAACCCCGCAACTGTGTGATAATTAATTGTAGCCGTTACTTGTAGGTTGGTGAATAAACCAATTAACAATCCGAACGGCGTCTTCAGTAAGCTAAACACGTTACACTGGTGTCAGAAGTGGGATTTGGACTTACACACGTGACCGACATTATTTGGTAGATTGTTGTGTCGACGGTAAATCCCAATATATTGTGACGTGGATGGCGCAAAGGGAAGTAAGGGTCACGTGAACTCTGCGGTCTCGCGAGTGACGTCACATACCCCCACCCCTTCCATTATCACACAACGCTCGGTAAACACCCCCTCCGCCGCGGTGACGTAACAGAGGAGCAACTGTGTCAGGTAACCATTGCCGCGGTGTTGTTACCAAGGGATACTGAGGTTATTACCCAGTCGTAAACAACTCCCGACAGCGTTGCTAGCACACCGATAAACACGGCGTCAGGCAACAGCGGTACCTATCACGTAACTGTTTTCTGTGTTGTCCGTGCCGAGGCTAAATAAGCAGCAGCGAACACTATTCAGGAGTAGTGAGTGATTAGTGAGTAGTGAGTAGAGAGTGAAGAGTGAGTAACGAGTAAGCAGTCAGTTTCAGTCTAGCATTCGCCAGAGTAAGTTGTGATACTGCCGATGGTAGTAATTGTGTAATTGTAAATTGTGTGAGTGTAAGAGCGGATGTGCAATAAATTCGTTATATCCAAGACGGCGTAAAGTTACTTGTCACGTGACCTACCCTACACGTGACAATATATATTTATTTATTTATTTATTTATTTATTCATTCATTCATCTGTAATCTGTCAAGACGACAGGTCCACGGTCTCTTCCAAAACAATTCCTCCACTTAATGCGATCTAGAGCTTTCTCCTTCAAATGACAGTATCCTCTTCTCTCCCCAAGGTCATCCAGCTTCTTCTTACGTCTTCTTCCTCGTCTTCTTGTCACTTCTATCCGCCCCTCTATCTTTCCTTCGATAGCTTCTTTTAGAAGGCAGTTTCTGCGTAAAACATGACCAATCCAATTAGCCTTCCGTTTTCTTATTTCATGTAGGATATTCCTCTGCTCACTGACTCTAATTAACACTTCTTCATTTCTCACATAATCGGTCCAACTGATCTTCTCCATTCTTCTCCAACACCACATTTCGAAACTTTCCAGATGTTTCTGATCTACTGCCCTAAGTGTCCATGTTTCAGCCCCATACAG